GAGTCCTGACCTCAACCCCATAGAACACCTTTGGGATGAATTAGAGGCGGAGACTGCGAGCCCCTCCCCCAACATCAGCACCTGACCTCACAAATGGTCCAACATTCCCATAGACACGCCCCTAAAACCTTGTGGACGCCTTCCCAGAAGAGGCGGAGCTGTTATCGCGGCAAAGGGCGGAGCCAACCCAATACTGAACCCTACGGACTAAGACTGGGGGGGCCATTAAAGGGCGGAGCCAACCCAATACTGAACCCTACGGACTAAAACTGGGCGACCATTAGAGGGCGGAGCCAACCCAATACTGAACCCTACGGACTAAGACTGGGGGGCAAGTCTTAGGGCGAGCTCTCCTCTCACTTCCCTCTATGTAGACCTGTGATTGGACAATGAAGGGGCGGGCTCTCCTCTCACTTCCCTCTATGTAGACCTGTGATTGGACAATGAAGGGGCGGGCTCTCCTCTCACTTCCCTCTATGTAGACCTGTGATTGGACAATGAAGGGGCGGGCTCTCCTCTCATTAGACCTGTGATTGGACAATGAAGGGGCGGGCTCTCCTCTCACTTCCCTCTATATAGACCTGTGATTGGACAATGAAGGGGCGGGCTCTCCTCTCACTTCCCTCTATGTAGACCTGTGATTGGACAATGAAGGGGCGGGCTCTCCTCTCACTTCCCTCTATGTAGACCTGTGATTGGACAATGAAGGGGCGGGCTCTCCTCTCACTTCCCTCTATGTAGACCTGTGATTGGACAATGAAGGGGCGGGCTCTCCTCCCACTTCCCTCTATACAGTCCTGTGATTGAACAATGAAGGGGCGGGCTCTCCTCTCACTTCCCTCTATGTAGATCTGTGATTGGACAATTAAGGGGCGGGCTCTCCTCTCACTTCCCTCTATGTAGACCTGTGATTGGACAATGAAGGGGCAGGCTCTCCTCTCACTTCCCTCTATGTAGACCTGTGATTGGACAATGAAGGGGTGGGCTCTCCTCCCCCTCCTCCTGTGTATATAGCCCCGCTATGGCTGTATATAGCCGTATTCCCGTATCTGGGACACTGATGACACTGTACTATGTATACATGTCAGCTGGCTGTCGGGTCCCACCTGTTCCATGTTCCCTTCTTGTCCTACAGGCCAATGTACATGTAAGTGCGTGTACACATAGACCGATTACCTGTCATGTCCCGGCCTGCTGTGCAATGACTGTGCTGAGTACACAGATTCCTCATCCATCCCTGCTGGAGAGAAGGAGATGTCAGTGGGAGAGCAGAGAGGTGGGGTCAGAGGTTAGGGGACATGGAGAGCCAGAAGACAGCTGACACGAGGTCAGAGGTTAGGGGACATGGAGAGCCAGAAGACAGCTGACACGAGGTCAGAGGTCAGGGGACATGGAGAGCCAGAAGACAGCTGACACGAGGTCAGAGGTCAGGGGACATAGAGAGCCAGAAGACAGCTGACACGGGGTCAGAGGTCAGCAACCATTGTAAGGTGGACGGGACGGGTGTGGTCAGCGGTCTGCCAGGGAGAGACACCCGGGGACAGGCAGAGACACCCCCCTCCACCAATGTTATACAGCAAGCAACTAAACACAGACCAACCCATAAATTACAGGGTGATCCCTACTGATC